ACTCATGCCCATACCCACCTCGATGGCGGCGTGCGTGGTGCGGAGCTCCTCGTAGGAGTCGCGCTCCACGACGGAACGAAACTTGGGAACACTTTGGGCAGCCATGAGGGCCACCCGATTTGCCTCTGAGGCAGCGGCCGCGACTTCTGCGGCGACGAGAGGGATTGTCGCTTCTGTGGCAATGAGGGCGCGGTATTCCTCATCGAGGAACCAGGGCAGCTATTCCCCCAAATGGTTAGCAACAGCCAACCAACAAACAGAACACCACAAGAAAACTCACTGGGACACAGGTGGAGTGCTGCGTAGTGCAGTACTCGCACTTTGAGCTCGAGGGAGACCAGACGCAATCGTGCGCCTGGACAGCGCAGACACAGGACCCGGAAAGTGACTGAGAGGGCTCCGGCAGGCGTGGGGATCGGCATCGTCAATTGTTCGGGATCTATGCTCCTGTCAGCCAAGCCCACATTATCACTTGAGCGCCGAGCGCGTTCCCGTCACCTACTCGTTTGTGTGGATTGTTGTATTCTAAACAATCAGTTAGTATACAGCTATAGGAATGGAGGGGGCCACTTACCAGTCTCGACGTGGATACCGTTGGCATGTTGTAAGGGAAAAACAGGAAGAGGTGGGCGAAGCGGAGTACTCAAATGTTGGCTTACAACAATAAATTCTGAATCGGGCTAGCGCGATCACTCCCCCTTTCACATTTACGAAGGTTCAACTCAAACGCTTAGCGGATACTTCCCGGTGCCCATTCAGACCACCAAGATGGAAAGTGAGATTGAACAAAGCCAACTCCAGTGTCGCATTCCACGAGGTGGTGTTACGGTACCCTTCAAGAACAGCCACCTCCGCACACAAAGCAAATTCCCGACACATTGTACAAACGGGGGAGTTACTGATGCACGTACCGCCTGAATTTTCACCAAGGAACGCCCAGCTTACGGATACCATTCAGAGAGGTTACGGAAAGGACCCTGATGGCATGCTTTGCGGACAAAGCACTCTCTTAGGAGGGGGGTAGTGTAAGGATGCCTTCCCATTCTAGGGAGTAGACTCTGGGTAGCTGCGGGGTCACGAGTGATCATTTGGGTGGGCTAACCGAGTCGGAACCGAGTCGGATGGGTTTCGGGTACTTGAGACAATCGACTCACGGGGTTCCCCCTTCATCTTTTTTGTATCCTTCGTAGTAGACCTATAGGATAGCATCCATTTAGCCTCCGACTCGCACTCTCATATGCTATTACTGTAAGCTGGGTGCCCTGTGTCCTTACACTTATCACACCAACAACAAGAGCAATACTACTCAACGATTGCTGCAAACTCTTCTACTACATTGTAATGGTGGGTGCACCAGATGTGAGAATCTAGCCACCCAAGGAAGGGATGATTTTACTAAGACAACACACTGTCTTAGGAAACAGAGCCAAAGGGTTGTAGCTTCGACTATTCCACAACGCAGCAACCAGGTGTATGATGTAGTGAAGTGGTTCAGACAAGTTGTAACAAATGTTGAGTCTGAGAACTCAGGGGTAAGTCAGATGTTAGCACCTCACTGACTTTTCAGAAACAAAGAATAACAAGATCAATGCTTGGAAGCTTGGAAAAGACGTGGAAGTATGTGATAGTCGATTTACTGTATTGTCTGCTTGCCCTTTCTTAAGGAAAGGGCAATCCTATTTATGCCAAAGGAGTGTAGTTCTCTCATTTTCCAAGACTTTCCATGACTAACCAGGCTTGGTAACTGTATTAGAAATCAAGTGCGACCCACAACTAGCTTGCTAATCATGTAGTGAACGTCAGAGAATCCCATAGAACCATCTCTTGGGTTTCTAGCCTATACGAAGTGAAAGGAGGTCCAAGGTCAGAGTACCCCTATAGACAAATTATGTCATAACTTAACCAATCTTGTGGGTAACTAAGGAGCGATGACGTGTAATGAATCATAGAGGGTTGTAAAAGCTTCTAGAGCTATCGTTCATGTTTCTAGGCCTCTAGTTGATAGAGATATGTCATGTGTAGTATTAGCCCAGTAACTAAGGAGTGATGTCATGTAATGAATCATAGAGGGTTGTAGAGATATGCTATGTGGTCATATCAGCCCAGTAACTAAGGAGCAATGACATGTAATGAATCATAGAGGGTTGTAGCAATCGTTGAGTAGTATTGCTCTTGTTGTTGGTGTGACAAGCCAAAATATGTATAGTGACTTGTAGGTTTGAGGAGGAGATTTCTAAGTTTGCTCTTGAGTTTGATAGCAAACTCAGTGCAATGAATGTCAGTATGACATACATCTGTTTATACTACATATATCACGGCATATCATTTGGACACACAAGTTATTAAGAAAATCTCCTCCTTAAGGGGGTGGGCCAATACTACCACATGGCATATCTCTACCAACTAGAGGCCTAGGAACATGAATGATAGCTCTAGAAGCTTTTACAACCCTCTATGATTCATTACATGTCATCGCTCCTTAGTTACCCACAAGATTGGTTAAGTTATGACATAATTTGTCTATAGGGGTACTCTGACCTTGGACCTCCTTTCACTTCGTATAGGCTAGAAACCCAAGAGATGGTTCTATGGGATTCTCTTACGTTCACTACATGATTAGCAAGCTAGTTGTGGGTCGCACTTAATTTCTAATACAGTTACCAAGCCTGGTTAGTCATGGAAAGTCTTGGAAAATGAGAGAACTACACTCCTTTGGCATAAATAGGATTGCCCTTTCCTTAAGAAAGGCCAAGCAGACAATACAGTAAATCGACTATCACATACTTCCACGTCTTTTCCAAGCTTCCAAGCATTGATCTTGTTATTCTTTGTTTCTGAAAAGTCAGTGAGGTGCTAACATCTGACTTACCCCTGAGTTCTCAGACTCAACATTTGTTACAACTTGTCTGAACCACTTCACTACATCATACACCTGGTTGCTGCGTTGTGGAATAGTCGAAGCTACAACCCTTTGGCTCTGTTTCCTAAGACAGTGTGTTGTCTTAGTAAAATCATCCCTTCCTTAGGTGGCTAGATTCTCACATCTGGTGCACCCACCATTACAGTCATGGTTATGGGGCTAGTGGGGCTAGACTATAGTAACATAACAGAATAGGAGGAATAGTTAGAGAGTTTACTATTCTAACTAGGGCATGCATGTGACAGAATAGCAGGAATAGCAGGAATAGTGATGGAGTCTACTATTCCTACTATTCCCTACATGTAACGGAATAGCAGGAATAGTAAGGGAGTCTACTATTCCAACTATTCCCTTTAGCATGACGCCACTATATAAGTAGATAGTATTTCTTTCGTGCTCAACTCAATATAGTATTCTTTACAATACTATAACGTATTACTTAGAAAGCCTTTGTGTTTAATCTCCTGCCTCCTCTGTTAAGTTAACCTTACACAAGGAACCTCTATGCATCCTATTAGATAGGAAGTAGCGTTACACTTCTACCTTTGGCTATAAGAGGAGGCATCTTCTTTCGAGCTTTTAATACCTATGCTTCTTTGCAACAGGTATATCTAATGCCACAATGAGGGCGAAAGCTGGTGAGTTAGCAGAGTATCCTAGTTTGGAAAAGGGGCGTTAGTTGTTAGTTGTTAGTTGTTAGCTAGAATACACTGAAATCCAGCTAAAATCCATCTATACAATAGTCAAATCACCAAATCACTAGTTCTAGGCTTCAAATCGTACAGTAAGAATCAATTTTTTATATTACTATATTTAGTTAGATTGAATGCCAAGCTATTATACTAACTACATATATAGTATGTTAGACAGGGGTCCCTTGCTGCTACAAAACGGAGCAAAGCAGCTTCTAAATTGGCCTAGTGCAGTCCACCACCTAGCATCCACGTCAAGTCAATCTATCCAGCATCCAGCATCTAGCATCCAGCATCCAGCATCCAGCATCTAGCATCCAGCATCCAGCATATCCAGCATATCCACCATATCCACCATATCCACCATATCCACCATACACAGAAAGTACATGTGCAGTCTGTACTGCACGTCCGTCTGCATGTGCATGCAGTACCCAATACGTACAGTAAGTACTGTACTAGTGGACTAGAGGAGGACCAGTACAGTGGAGAGTGGAGATGGTTTTACTCGACATCCAACGAGTTCTCCTCTCCTCTACAGTACTACTGCTGTCTCTACTCCCAAGGAGTTAAGTGGTTGTACTGGTACCGCGAGTGGTACGGTCGTAATTAGTTCCCTTAAGTACCAAATGCAAGGCTGGTAAACCAGTTAACTGGCTCTAGAGGCACCATAACTCTAACGCTAAGTCAGCTAATACAATAACACAAGAGGTGCTTTTGGGATGCTGGTAAACGATGCTGGTAGACGATGCTGGTAGACGATGCTGGTAGACGATGCTGGTAGACGATGCTGGTAGACGATGCTGGTAGACGATGCTGGTAGACGATGCTGGTAGACGATGCTGGTAGACGATGCTGGTAAACGTCGCCTTGGGATTCTTCTTGACTGCTCTCCTAGTAGTGAGTAAGTAAGTAAGTAGGAAGTAGGTGAGTAAGTAGGTGAGAGGTGAGTAAGTAGAGTAGTTAGTAAATAAGTAGTATACCCGGCTATACTCAACTACTATACACTACTCTATTCGACTATACTCGACTAACCGTATAACTCCTACTAAAACTACTACCGAAGAATATTAGTCGAGTATTAGATACCCAGTCTACTTGCCACTACTTGCCACTACTTCGAGCCTACGACTAGAACTGGCTTGGTCGCTCGCTCTATGGCTGTTTCATCCCATGGCCCGCCCACTGAGCCGTACCGTAATGTACTCTGGAGTACATTACTCACACTACCCATCTACTCACTCTACTCTACCCAACCCAAAGCCCCAAAGCCCCACACCCATCCCATCCGCCTCCTACTACTACTACTACTCTGCGCTTGTGTACTTCATCCTATAGCCACTAAAGTACCACCCTGCCCGCTCCGACTTGTTTATCCAGATTGCATAGTCGAATGCACCTGGTGGGTTTCCAACAAAAGTGTTGCTGCCGGGCGTTGTCGAATTTATTGTCTTTCAACCTCACCTCACCCCTACTCTGGCAACGACGAAGTAGATATTATCTATCTTCACCCGAATCTGTTTTGCATCGCCGTGAGCCCCGTCTTTCGCACTACTGACGATGACGACAACATCACCTATCGATATTGCCACACCATCACGAAACGCCTCATCGTCACCATCATCCCAAGGCACCAAGTCTGCGACTGCAAGATTTAACTCCGGCGTCGACGACTCGAGAATATCAGCAATCATGAGCGCCTCAGCATACGACCAGAATGGCGGTCGCCCTCGCCAGGAGTCCTTCGTCTCCGCGAAACCCATTTCCATGAACAACCCAAGAAACCTCGACCAACGACCCCGACGAGAGAGTCTGGCAGGCAGCCTTGTTGGCGGCATGAGCTGGGGTGGCGTCTCTGTGGGATCATGGATTCGAGATGAGTGAGTTTACCCCTTCTTCTTGAAACGATGTTATAATGGCTCTTTATCACCGAGTCCATGTCTCACCTTTCATCCGATACCAATCATGCATGCGCCGCAGCCGGGGACGACTCTGACATTCCACAGTATTATCATGGCAGGTACCTCGCCGTTCCCTTACCAGTCACCATCATATCACTCGTCATCATACCTGCCAAAACTTGAGGCGAATTTCATGCGCGATTTCTCTTGCTGTGGCCACACGCTACCAACTCTCCACGATCTCCTCCAACATTACGAAGAATGCCACGCCCAGCAGACCCCACAATCACTGCGAACTGCAGCGCAGCAGCAACAAGTGAGGGACCAGCAGCAGCCCAACAGCAAAGCCGCCATCGCCTCGCAGGCGGCCAACTCGGTCCAGCAACAAGCACAGCAACAGAGACAGCAACAGCACCAACGGTCTCAGAATGGCGGGTTCAATGCCAATAAGCCAGCTGGCGGAATCTCGACACTTACCGGAGGAATCCAGCAAATGCGTCGCCAACAATCCAACCCTTCTACGCCCACACAGAAGATTGCCCAACCTTCGGGAGGAGATGATATGGACGGAGTGGAGGACATGGAGATGGACGACCCAGTTGGCCCTATGGATCCAGTGGATGGCTCTGTCAATCGGCCGGTTGCACCGCAGTCGATGTTTGGACAGCAACAACGACAGAATAACATGACCAATACTGGTGGAATGCTACATCAAGGCCTTCGTACGTCCCAGCCAAGCACCCCCTCCGCCGCAGGTTTTGGTTTCCAGAACAACCCGACAGTCTCATCTGTCAACACGCCAACCCTGAACGCTCAGCTTTCCCAGCAAAATAATCCCAAATTCTCTCCTGACATTTCCATACCAGGCACCCCAGCAGAACTGGATGATGACTTCAACACGATGAATATGGACATGAACAACATCGGGAACATGAACATGAATACGAACAATATGAACTTCCCCTACGGGTTCGGCAACGACTTGGGCCTGGAGCTCTGCATCGACGAGCCTGCGAAGAGGCTGTTTAGCCCGAACGGCGGATTTGGGAACCAGAAGGCCCTCCAACAACAGTTTGCGCAGTTCGGACTCGGAAACGGCCAGTTTGCGAATAACGACGACCTCGTGCGGAGACTCCGCCAGCAGCAGATGATGCAAATGCAAGGATTTGGAAATGCTTCGGCGGCGATGATGATGGGCGGAGAGGAGCACAAGCCTTTCCGCTGTCCTGTTATTGGATGCGAGAAGGCGTACAAGAACCAGAACGGTCTCAAGTAAGTTTAGGTGCTTACCCGATGCGTGATATGATATTAATACAATTTTAGATACCACAAGACCCACGGCCATCAAACTCAGCAATTACATGAGAACGGCGACGGAACATTCTCAATCGTCAACCCCGAGACCTCCGCTCCATATCCTGGTACTCTTGGCATGGAGAAGCAGAAGCCTTACAAGTGCGACGTCTGCGGCAAGCGATACAAGAACTTGAACGGTCTCAAATACCACAAACAACACTCCCCGCCCTGCAACCCCGAGATGAAGCTCAACGGCCACCTCCAAGCAGCCGGCCTCAGCAACATCAACGGCGGCATCAACGTCAACGTCCCCGGCCTCCCCGGCATCGGCGAGGAAGGCATGCTCTGACATCCCCCCGAGCGACGGATACACCATAACACTCACTTCGGCCCAACACACTTGCTCCTCCACTGCGTCGGACGGTTTTTATTGCATTATTTCTTCCTCTTTGGGCCATCATCATTTCATCATGCATTTGCGCGGCGTTAAAACAAATGAGGCCACACGATACCCCGGGGCACGCAGCGCCGCGCTCGAGAGCTAGCGACGCTACAATAAAGGTCGATGCACTCACTTTACGCCCTGATGGCCTTACCTCCCCCTCCACACCATCACACACACATGTACTCGCTCAGCCGAGTTCTCATTAGAAAAACTTCCTTTACTTACCTCGTCATGGATTTTATAATTACCGGCCTCACTCACGATTTAAGAGAGAGCGCCAAGCCCCAAAAGTGCAGCGCTTTTTTACTTTTTACAGTACACTGAACGAATACGTTTTACCTTCCCGCTTGTTTTTTTGCTGTGCTTGCTCCTTGCCATGCTTTTTCTTGCTTTTTTGCTCTCTGCTGTTTCTTGGGTTTGATGGTTGGAGTGCTACGGAAGGGGTTGTGGTTGCGGTTTGGCCACCATCGGGGTTTTCACTTCGCATTATGGCGTAATTACGATTTTTGTACATGGATCTATTTGCCTTTTTCGTCAATTCCTCATCTTCATCTTCATGTTGATATTTATAATAAAGGGCATGCAAGCTGTCATAGCTACGTCTGTTTTAGCAGAAGTTGAGAGGGATAAAGAGAGGGGGGAAAGAAAGGACTGGAATGTTTTTGGATCACTGTCGAGAGGAGTCATGAGGATTAGGGGAGCCAGCGAGAGGGATGAAACAGAACGGGTCGGTCAATCAATGACGGAGTTTTTACTTATTTTACTTTAGATCGGGGGAGGGGAGTTAGAAGGGGGGGGAGGGGGGTTGGTTGGCTGGCAAGGAGTGCACTCTGCAATCTGCAGGTCGAGATATGCAATGAATAGACTTTTAACTATAAGTTACTATACTATAGCCAGCCTTCTTGGCATGAATAAAACAAAAAGAGCGGGAATTGTTCCAGAGCAACGTACGAGTTTTCGAGAAGAGCGGGCGTCCCGTCCTATCCCATCCCATCCCATCCATCATCGATTGATTTAACTCCTCTGTCATCGTGGCTTCCTGCTCTGACACAGTGGTTCCCTCTTGGCAGTTCCTTGATTTCGACCAAACACCTTACAGCTACCTACGTAGGGGTAAGTATGAGGGAGGGGAAGGAGGAATCCCATCCATGCCGCTCGTGTGTGTAGTGGTGGTGGTGGTAATCGTATGACGCGCCTCTCTTTATTTATCACCTCCTCCCGCCCCCCTACAGTACAGTACCTACACCTACACCCCTTACGACAGTATTACGAAGGATAACTTACAGCACCCAGCTCCAATGTACAGGCAATTAATCAACTCACCTTACGTAGCTGCGCATACACGCCGAATACCTACCTACGCACATACCTGCATACGTACTGTACTGTATGCCGCCCAGCCTCTCCGTAACGGCCGACCGACCGACTGGCCGTCCTGACCCAAGAAACCAGAATCCCGCCCTGCGCTATAGCGCTTGGCCGTTCCACGCGGCCGCAATTCACCCGTCTCTATTCGCTGGGCCGGTTCCTTCGCCACCGAACCGAGTGAGTGGCTAGGTAAGGGTAGCTCGCAAGCTGTTTTGTTTTCAGGTGATACGAGCTAGCTCCCTAAAACGAGTCAGACAAATGGCGCGCGGCGGGGGTGGACAGAACAACGGCGTAGACCAGACCAGACCAGACCAGACCACCGCCGCCGTCGCCGCCATATCCGCCCTCCTCTCGCCGCAGACCATGGACAAGGGAAGCTAATCCAAAAACCCTATCCCCCTCGTCTCGAACACACCGCGCGCCCGCTCATCTCCCATCTCCCATCTCCCATCTCCCATCTCCCATCTCCCATCTCCCATCTCCATCTCCCATCTCCCATCTCCCATCTCCCATCTCCCATCTCCCATCTCCCATCTCCCATCTCCCATCTCCCATCTCCCATCATCTCCCATCTCCCATCTTCTCCCATCTCCCATCTCCCATCTCCCATCTCCCATCTCCCATCTCCCATCATCTCCCATCTCCCATCTCCCATCATCTCCCATCTCCCATCTCCCATCATCTCCCATCTCCCATCTCCCACGCCAAGTATCCGCCCTGCGCGACTTGCCCCTGTCTATGCCCGCCCAATTAACCCATGGGGCCCCACATATCCCAGCTGGAGTTGACGATGATTCCCCATGCGGAAATTTTGGATGCGCAAACGCACGCGAGCATGCCGCTTGGCTACGGGTATGGTTGCTGTGGTGGAGGAAACGCTGTAGTTATGCCTGGGCGTGCAGTAACTAGTATAGTAGAGTAAGTACAGTGCATAAAACATTTCCACAACCAAACCCAGTGGACACAAGAAGCAACCGCCAGCCACCCAGCAAGACCAGCCCAGTAAAGTCATCACCGCCCACCGCCCACCGCCCACCGCACATTCGTGCATAACAGGGATTAACTGTAGGTCAGTGCCAAGTACTGGGCTAACTACTGCTACTACTGCGTATTGTTGGAATGAGAACTCGGTGCTTGGCACCGGCACCACCGGCATCACGGGCATCACCGAGACCGCTCCCCCTACATCGGTGCGAGGATATCAAAGACCCTGTATCATATTAGTAATAGCCCTGTATTATATTAGGTTTAGTGGTTAGCATCAATAAAATCTCTTTTACACCTGAAAGCACAGTCTATTATTTGAACAGGTTATGAGCCCGGATTGGCGTGATAAATTCTGATTTTTCTGCTTCAACTAAAGCGCAAGCTTGCTGAGCGTAAATGACACGACTATATCTGCAAAAACATACCAAAAAGTCCTATAATACTCCAAAAGAAAAAGGGAGCGTCGCCGTACTACGATGAGCGGACTGATGAGAGAAAAGGGTGCAACTATACAAGGAAACAGGAGAGGACACATCTCAGATCTTGAAGAAGTGTCCCGTAGCATACGTGAAGCCACGATAGGAGCCATTAGTGAGCCCTTTGAACAAGATCACAGACACAAGAGGCAGCGGATCAAAAAACCTGTGGTGGTGCCAGAATCGTCTTCTCCATCCTCCTCATCGAGTGAGGAAAGTGATAACCGCCTACTACAAGGCAGACTTAACATGAAGAACCAAACGTCAAAAAGACTAGACACTCATGTTCTCACTTCTGGGTTAATCGGTGCAAGAGACCCCATAACACAGAAAACTGAAGCAACACTACAAAGACAAGATCATACCATCTATCTAGAACTTGAACGAATTGTAACTCCATCGACAATGTCGACCTACAATGCTCCCCCAAGGCACCCTCCCCTTCGAAAATATCATCTCTATGGCCAACAACCATGAGAAGCTGATAGAGAACCAGAAGACAACCAGTGCAAGCATTGCCACAGGGCTCCTAGCCCACAAGAGAGGGATTTCCCGCTAAACAAACCAACATGCGTGATGCATCAGAGACCTGACAACAATCACTCTGATGCCGACTGCTGGCAGCAACACCCTGAAAAGTGACCCGAATGGTTTGACAAAAGGAGGGAACAGCGATCAAAAAGAATGAGACCAGGTGTGCCAGCTACACACCTGAAGCGACATCTACAAACAGAGAGATGATGCTGATGGCAAACATTGCCACAGCATCTCACCATGAAGATGCGCCGCCTACGGAAGGCGGCTTCTTTGCCTTCCATACTACTATACCATCAACAAGTGATGTGAGAAGCGCTATTGTCAAAGACATGGACTGGGTGCTCGACACTGGAGCAAACAGACACATGGCCTGCTGACAAGAACACCTTACCAAATACCAACCATATCCAACTCCTATTGCCCATTGCAGCTGCAGGTCCTGGAACAGTCGCTATTGGAGAAGGAACAGTACGCCTCAGCATTTAGCGAGCGAGCCGATTATCTTGAACTACAAAACGTCATGCTCGTCCCATCACTAGGAACAAACCTCCTGTCGATATCTGCTATCCAGGACTGAGGAGGAGGCTTTCGAACAGTGAAAGGAGGATGCAAGCTCACTCTGAACGGGAATATCCTAGCTACAGGACAAAAAATTGGTGGGCTATACAGACTCAATCAGTCTGTCCATAAGCTGATCGAGTCACAATGACAACCCCAGACCCTGGCGAGTGAGGTTATAGCCTTCTATACGTCTCACATCTACCACTCATGCCCATTCACACTTGGCACTCCCGCCTCGGACATCTTGGCTATGATGCTATACACCAACTCGCTAGCATATCTAACGGCTTAACTCTGGAGTCTGGAACTTGCGACAAGGAAAGAGAGTTCTGCAAACCCTGTACGCTAGGCAAACGGTTCGCCCATAACAACATGCCAACTCCTCGCCATGCTACAGAGAGACTTGGCCTTGTCCATATGGACCTTGCTAGCCCTATAACCCCAAAGACTAAATCTGGCGAAAGCATGTTCCTTATGATAACTGATGACCTTACATGCTTCGCATGGATCTATTTTATCAAAACAAAAACCAGTGTCAAAGTCCTTGGATATATCAAACACTGGTATAACATTGTCTACAATCAGACTGGCCTCCAAGTTAAATGCTTCCATGCAGATGGCGGCAGAGAGTTCGCATCAGCGTCCATCTGGTGATACCAGTCCAAAATGTGTGTGGACTGGTATCACCAGATGGGCGCTGAGTGGGAACCTACTAGTCCTAATCAACCAAACCAGAACAGCGTCTCTGAGCATGGAAACCGAACAGTGCTTGACAAGTCCCATTCAGTGATGAGTGAAGCAAATCTTCCAAAAGAGCTCTGGGGAGAAGTGACTAGAACGATGGTATACCTCAAAAATCGCTCACCAACATCGGCCATTCAAATTACCCCTTTTGAAGCCTGGTATCGCATTCGAAAAATCAGATTTATCACATCTTCTGTTACGATGGTCATAGAGGTCATGATGCCAGTCTAGGAAAAGTAACCTAGATTGAATTTAAAGAGAGAAGAAGAAGAAGAAGGAAGGAAGGTGAGGCTATTCCTAATAACATACAGCTGTCTGCTTAGCGGTTGTAACCTTGTGGCTAAGGCTACACCCGTAATCCCCATAACAACTGTAATAACCGTAACAACCGTAACTGTCATACTGACATTCGCTGCACTCAGTTTGCTATCAAACTCAAGAGCAAACTTAGAAATCTCCTCCTCAAACCTACAAGTCACCATACATATTTTGGCTTGTCACACCAACAACAAGAGCAATACTACTCAACGATTGCTACAACCATCTATGATTCATTACACGTCATCGCTCCTTAGTTACTGGGCCGATATGACCACATAGCATATCTCTACAACCCTCTATGATTCATTACATGACATCACTCCTTAGTTACTGGGCTAATACTACACATGACATATCTCTATCAACTAGAGGCCTAGGAACATGAACGATAGCTCCAAAAGCTTCTACAACTGTCTATGATTCATTACACGTCATCGCTCCTTAGTTGCCCACAAGATTGGTTAAGTTATGACATAATTTGTCTATAGGGTGTCATACTGACATTCATTGCACTCAGTTTGCTATCAAACTCAAGAGCAAACTTGGAAATCTCCTCCTCAAACCTACAAGTCACTATACATATTTTGGCTTATCACACCAACAACAAGAGCAATACTACTCAACGATTGCTACAACCATCTATGATTCATTACACGTCATCGCTCCTTAGTTACTGGGCCGATATTACCACATAGCATATCTCTACAACCCTCTATGATTCATTACATGACATCACTCATACTACCACATGACATATCTCTACCAACTAGAGGCCTAGGAGCATGAACGATAGCTCTAAAAGCTCCTACGAACCTCTATAATTCATTACATGTCATCGCTCTTTAGTTACCCACAAGATTGGTTAAGTTATGACATAATTTGTCTATGACATAATTTGTCTATAGGGGTACTCTGACCTTGGACCTCCTTTCACTTCCTATAGGCTAGGAACCTAGGAGATGGTTCTATGGGATTCTCTTACGTCGACTACAGTTACCAAGCCTGGTTAGTCATGGAAAGTCTTGGAAAATGAGAGAACTACACTCCTTTAGCATAAATAGGATTGCCCTTTCCTTAAGAAAGGGCAAGCAGACAATACAGTAAATCGACTATCACATACTTCCATGTCTTTTCCAAGCTTCCAAGCATTGATATTGTTACTCCTTGTTTCTGAAAAGTCAGTGAGGTGCTAACCTCAGACTTATCCCTCAGTTCTCAGACTCAACATTTGTTACAACTTGTCTAAACCACTCCACTACATCATACACCTGATTGCTGCATTGTGGAATAGTCTAAGCTACGACCCTTTGGCTCTGTTTCCTAGACAGTGTGTTGTCTTAGTAAAATCATCCCTTCCTTGGGTGGCTAGATTCTCACATCTGGTGCACCCTGTAACGCTGACTTCTAAACGATAGAAGACACAGAGGTTCTCTTGCGTAAAGGTTTACTTATCAGAGGAGGCAGGGGATCAGACACAAAGGCTTCAAGTAACACGTTACTAGTATATAACAAATACTGTATTGAGTTGAGCACGAAGCTCCTATCTAAGGAAATACTATCTACTTATATAGTGGCGTCGTGCCTAGTGGACTCTTGGGAACTCACTCGAGTCCTCAGAGTCCTGGACTCTTAGGACTCTTCTCATCATCCTGCGAGTCCGTCACGTGCCTAGTGGACTCCTGGGAACTCACTCGAGTCCTCGGAGTCCTGGACTCTTAGGACTCTTCTCATCATCCTGCGAGTCCGTCACGTGATACTTTCGGAACTACTATTCCCCGCTGCCCCTCCAGGTACCAGGGCCGGTCTCATGCGACCTCCCTCCTTCCTGTCCTGTAGTTGGCCAGCCTTCTTGTTCCGTCGTAACACACCCACCATTACAAGGGGGTGGCACATCAAACAAATGGATGTCGTTACAGCTTTCTTATATGGCAATATTGATGCTGACGTCTACGTTGAACTGCCCCCAGGACTGGACAACTCACCTAACGGAATATGCAAACTGAACAAGGCACTCTACGGGCTCAAACAGGCTCCACGGTTCTGGTTTGAATGCCTTACTACAGCGCTACGATCCTTTGGTTTCCTACCCTGCCCAGGAGATTCAGCATGCTTCACAAAAAAGGACATGACTATACTGTTCCACGTTGATGACTTCCTAATAGTTGGCCCAGAAATGAGTGATATCAACCAAGTTAAGCAGCAGCTGAAAAATCAGTTTAAAATGGTAGACCTTGGGGCCTGCCAATTCTTCCTCAGAATCAAAATCAAAAGAAACCTGAAGAACAAGACTATCAGGCTGTCACAACGAGCATACCTAGAAGGAATACTCAAGTGATTCGATTCATGGAATATCCACCCATCTGCTACACCAATGGACGAGAAACTAAACCTCCTTGCTATCAGAGACCACCGAATTCAAGGCCCAACGACTCGATTACCAAGCCAAAGTAGGCTCGCTCATGTATGCCATGCTGTGCACAAGACCAGACCTAGCATACGCGGTCTCACTTGTCAGCAAATTCGCCTCAACCCTGGACCAGAACACCATGTGGCAATTAAATGCATTTTCAGATACATCGCAGGCACCCTCAACCTAGGTCTTGAATATGACGGCACCGAGAAATTCACAGGGTATACAGATGCAGACTGGGCAGGCGATAAGGGAACTAGCAAATCCACAAGCGGCTTCGTTTTCACGCTTGGTGGAGGAGCTGTGAGCTGGTCAAGCAAAAAGCAGACCACCATAGCTGCCTCCACCTGCGAAGCAGAATACGTGGCCCTCTATGTATGCACCAGGGAAACTATCTGGCTTAAACGACTACTAGAGTTCTTCTGTGTGGATGCTGCACTCCACCCTATCGATATTCGTGCAGACAATGAAGGAGCCATAGCGCTCGCAAAAAACCCAGAGTATCACCAGAAAACGAAACATATCAGGATCAAATACCATTTTACACGAGAAGCAATCACTAATGGAGAAATCACTGTGTCACACATCTCAACAAACCAAGAACTCGCCGACATATTCACCAAGGCACTGCCTCGAATTAAATTCTCATCCTTCCGTCACGATTTGGGAATCCGGGGCGAAGAATCAACGGTGCCTCAGGGCAAAGAGCCACAAATCGACAAAAAGAATAAGGATCTACAAACCAAGGGCCTTGCAGACAAGAAACAAAAAGCTGAAGCGTACACACCCTGAGCGGGAGCCACGAAAGGAGAGCTGGCACACTCACAGTGAGAACTGCAAGCAGTTATGAGAATGGGGTGATAAGTCACCATAAACAAAAAAATTGACTACCACAAAAACGATACACTATTAGACACAAACCTACAGGCTACAATATACTATACAGAAAGGTAGAGGAATCATGACACCGATGTAGTGTTAGAGTGGGAGTGTTGGAATGAGAACTCGGTGCTTGGCACCGGCACCACCGGCATCACGGGCATCACCGAGACCGCTCCCCCTACATCGGTGCGAGGATATCAAAGACCCTGTATCATATTAGTAATAGCCCTGTATTATATTAGGTTTAGTGGTTAGCATCAATAAAATCTCTTTACACCCGAAAGCACAGTCTATTATTTGAACATGTATGCCCACGGGCGCTCATTTACCAGAGTTGAGAGTGGGAACGTTTAGCACCAGGGCGGCCGGTGGTTGCTGGTGGGTGTGGTTTGTCGGCGGGATGGGATGGGATGGGATGGCGGAAATCGGCGCGTGCATGTGCTAAAGGAGGACGCAGATCAGTAATCCTGTCTCCCCGCCGGCCGACGTCTCGCCGTACCCTCGCCGAACCGCTACCTCGCGGTACTTCCACCTACCTCCCACATCCCCCTCTCCCCCTCTCTCTTTCCCCCCAAACCCACTTTACATAACCCAATCCCCCCCCAACCGCCGGCGCCAAGTCTACCATACGCTAGCGCTAGTTTCTTCTAGCGCTCTTCTGGAAGACCGGGTGGGCCTCGGCTGCCAGGCTCGGCTTGGCGGGTGTGGCTGGTGGCTGGTGGCTGGCTGGGAGGACGTCGGAGGAAAGAGCGACCAGCCAGCCTCGCTGACCAGTATCAATAATTGCCAGAATAGCATCGAATTGAGTGACCAAATCATATCCCTATGTGAAAGTGCAAGTACTCTAAAACGCATCGTATTATCATCATACCATGATGCATCTACTCGTATCTAACGCCACCAGCAAATAAACGAACCCCCCCCTTCAAAAGCAAAGCCTGACTCCAGGCCAATGCAGAACACAGAAACATAAACATAACAAATATTCCGTTCCCCAAGCAGGAAGATAATAAACGCCGCCGATGAACCGTCATCCCGTCGTCGTCTCTCGTAATATACTCCTCCTAACATACCCCCCAACGGATGAGCAAAAATAAAAGGGGTGAGGGAAGTAAGTCGCCAGCTAGCAAGCCCACCAACCCCCTCCCTCACCACAGAAAGCGCCACCCCACTCACAAAACCCCCATCTCCTCATCATCATCCTCCCCCTCCTCCCCACTCTGCATCTGCGTCGCACTACTCCCCCCACTAAACTTCCTCGCCGACGCCCCCCCAACCCCAAACCTCCCCCCCCCCAACCCCCCACAACCTCCAGCTCCTCCCCCCCCACCACACGACCTTCCATATCAATCTCCTGACTCAGATCCACGAGCGCCATGCGCGGCAACTTCAAGAAGCCTTGCGTGCGCACCACGCGGCCCCAGTGGAGGAGACAGTAGTTCGCGGCGCGCTTGCGGAGCCACTCCTCGTTCGCGACGCCGGCGCTGTGCCAGGTGATGCAGGCGTGCTCGACGTCCATTTCCTTGGAGAGGCGGTTGACGCACAGTAAGCGGAGGTGCGGGATGTTGTAGATGTTCGAGAGAACAAGGAGGCCCGCGACATCATTGAGCTCCGGTACGTCGTCCATGTGGATACTGTCCGTGTAGAGGTAGTAGAGGAACGCCTTGACGACGGGGTAGGGTTCGGGGATATGCATTTTCTTAGTGTGGAACTCGGCCATCTGAGCGTTGTAGAGGCGTGCGAAATGGGCCCAGCGAGCTTGGAGGATCAGTTTGTGGACGTGGATGGGTTGGGAGGTTGAGGCGTCGGGGGCGAGCCAGTTTTGGACGACGGAGCCGGAGGGGGAGCCGGCGGAGGACATGGCTGCGTTGTCGTCCCAGTCGTCGTCTTCGCGCGAGGCGGTGACGATGAAGTCTGTGCCGCTGCCGCTCTCGGGGGGGACGTTGAATAGAATTGCCAAGTCGGCACCGAGGCCACGGGAAGGCTGGGGGGTGCTGCGGCCAGAGTGGCCTGAGAGTGAGGTAAATGGAGTTCTGACATCTGCTCGGTTCTCTTTGGCGAGGTCGTTCCCAAGGAGTCCGTATTTGCGGAGGTCGATTTCCATGATGTCGCTCAGGTATTCCTCGAAGCCGTTCGGGCCAAGATCAGTAGCAGCTGGGTCGGTCGGGCAGCCTAGGAGCCATGCTTTCGTCCCGTCTTCGTTCATCGTACAGTAATGCCAGCGGTAACCACTCCTGAAGATCTCGCGGCCTTCTGCAAGTTTCTGCCAGCGCAGGGTGTCCAAGTCCAGGGATGACAGCGAGCAGTCCGCAGGGGTGATCGTAACAGCCGGCGTGACGAAATCAAGGAGGTTTCCTGAAGTAAACACGTGGAAGTGCATGCCAGATCCTTGAGCTGGGATATTGGGCCCCGAAACAAACTTGAGGGACGAAACTGCACCGGGTGCTGCTGGCGGCGACGTGTTCAGTTGGAATGAAGCGGGGTTAACCTGCGCGCTGCTCGAATTTGCCGCATAGCCCGTGCTTCCAACAGGTGCTGGGCTCGATGCTGCACTCTGGCGAGTAGACCCTTGGCGGGAAACTCTGCGGTCCCAGGTGTCATAGGCCGGAGGAGAGTCGAAGGCGGGAGTGCCTTTGAGGTCAAGCCAGTAGATGTCTCCCACCTTTTCAGCATCTTGGCTGAGGCCTCCAAATACCCACATCCTGTCACCCCAGATGGATGCCTGGTGATCGAAGCGACCAACGAAGCGCCATGCCCGCGACCAGGTGAATGTTTTAAGGTCAAGATAGCAAATGTCGTCCAAGACATAGTTGTTGTGCCCAGTGATTCCACCAACTATGAAAAGTTTGTCTTCGTGGAGCACAGCAGCGTGTCTGGCTCTTCCTTTTGGAATCGGGCCAGTCACGGCAGGCTGTGTCCAGTGCGCAGTCTTCAGGTCGAATATAATAAGGTCGGAGAGGTAAGTTCGGTGCTCATTCTCACCACCGAAAATGAGGAGCTTGTCCCCTTGGTAGAGTGTGGCAGTATGCCCTGTTTATCATTAGAACGAGTTTATACTGCGTGTACGGAATCAATACATACCCATTCTAACACCTGGAATGTCGCCATAGTTGTCAACTGTTGTTGTGTATCAGTATCTTATATAACTTTTTTTTCAATTTTCCGAGACGCCGTGGTGGGTACAAAAAATGTCCAGAATAAGGCGGGGAGAACGTACCCAAGCTCCATTGATGGCTGACCATGTCCAGTTTTAAGACATGATTGTAGACTTCGTCCGTATAGGCATCGAATCCACCAAACGCATATATGTTGTTTCCACCACAGTAGGTCACTGTCGCATTCACCAAGCAGGCAGGTCTCTGACCTAGAGTCCGAACGAGTTTTGGTCGGTAATTATCCTTTGCGGCCGGTTTCACTGGTGAATTAGGCATGAGGAAAGTATTGGTCGAGGAGGCTGCTGAACCTGGAGTGAGACCGAGAGGTGCATGGCTGCCGGCACCTGAGTAGATCGCCGAGCCAAATATGCCGGCGTTGCTGCTGGCGGGGGTAGAGGGCTGAGCCATATTCGCAGGCCTCTAGAATCCCATCGACGGCGCGAGTAACTGTTCCAATCCAATGGCCAGACAGAGAGCCAGGTATCTTTCGAGACGGTTGTTGAGGTGAGTGAGGAAAGAGCAGCGAGAAAATGGCAATGGTAATGGGCTCAAAGAACGCTACTGAATGTGGAATGGCCTTATCGGAATTGTGGCGCGATCTGCGATTGGGCGTTAATCACGTGTTATGTGATCGTTTTTGTTGACTAATCAACTGCACGTGATTCAATTGCACGTGCCACCTGCTTGGATAGACGGGGTGGGGTCCAACGCTTTCTTGTCGCAAGCGAATGACGTTGCCTTGCAAGTTGCCAAGTTGGAGTTGACGTCTCCAAAGAACACACGACAATTTTCAAATATTCTCCAACAACTGCAGCTGCAAAGTCCAAAGGTATTTACTGCTCATGAAGCTCTACAATACACTTACTAACTGATCTTTTGCAGAGTAAGCCTCTCCCTTTGACGAATAGCTACTACGCGATCCTTTGCCATACTCTCATTACAGCATTGACTCTATAACCTCCAGAAACGAAACATATACAATATTGTCAAGCTTCAACAACTTCCAAGATGACGCTCTACTACAGTCTCGTGGGTTTCTCGCGCGTCCTAGGCCTATGATTCGCCTTGCTAATGATCCTGCAGGTCTTCATGCTACTTGTAGCAGAGATGGGCCTTTTCGTCCTTCTCATCGTGCCCCTCCCGTTCAACTGGAGGCTCAAGGTAAGATACCACCATAATTTCCCCATTACTGCCAGCTGCTAACCAACAACCAGCTATATACGTTCATTTCCGGTTCGTGTGCTCCACTCCAGACTCCCGAAAACCCCCCAGACCAGTACTGACATCCTCCAAGAAAGTCCTGTCATAGCCAAAGTACAACACGGTCTGAAGATAACGTTTATCTTCATCCTTATCCTGTTCTTAGACAGTGTATGTTCCCAAATCATTGATACTACAAGGAAAAACTTGGTACTGACTATCCCAGGTAAACCGTGTGTACCGAGTCCAAGTTGAACTCGCCCTGGCAACTGAGCAATCGCAAACTGGGTATGTGTCCTTATATCCATATTACAGTATAGCACTAACCACAGTTAGTAGAGCTGTTCTCGGACATGAGCGCATGGAAGTTCAGGCCCGCAAGTTCTACTCTCAGCGCAACATGTACCTCTGTGGCTTCACGCTGTTCCTGTCTCTGATTCTCAACCGCACATACCTGATGGTAACACCCCCCTTGCACCAAACCTCCCGATACCTCTCTAACACATCTGCAGATCATGGAGACCCTGAGACTCGAGACCAAGCTCAAGCAATACCAAGGTGACGCAAAGGCCAGCGGCAAGGACGCCCAGAAGCTTGAGGAGGCTGGCGGTATCAACGAGATCGGAAACCTGAAGAGGAAGCTCGCCCAGAAGGAGCAGGACCTCGAGAATCTGAAGAAGCAGTCTGCCGGTCTTACCCGGGAGTACAATGAGCTCAGCGATAAGTACGCTTCTACACAATCTACCGAGACCCTACCAAAGAAGGATAGGTAAATGGTAAATGCATGTGCAAACCAAAAGAAGCTGGGCCTGGGCGCGGCCGAAACTGGGGTGTTGAGGGAAGAGATGGCCATCGGTACATGTAAGGAGTAGAAGGCGCGGTGAGATAGCGCCTTGTGGATAAACATAGATTGGAGTAGGGATATAAGCTACACATAAGTAGGAAAAAGGACAATCTTTTTGTCCCTCTTGTCAGCAATGCTTGTGGGTACATGTACACGAAATGATATTTTGGGGATTAGCGGTCACAATGTATTGATATCTGGACGTATTCTTGCTCAATTGATTTTCAAATGCTGTTTTATCCCATTCGGATATTGAATAGCTGTAACTGTCGGCTCGTCTCCCATTTTGATTCCGGGCATTTGAGATACCGATCCGCGCCTATGTCCGTCATCAACACCATGCATTGCAAAATGATACCTATTATCCTCCGCGCAAATAACCCCGCGGGTTATGTTCCTAGATATAACGCTGAAAGGACGCTGTGGTTCGGCCATTGGTGTATAAGAACTGGAGCGGGAAGCAGTGAGGAATGGCACAACCCTTGTTTCTGACCGAGATATGCCTGCGCACACTAATTATAATTCCAACGCATGCGAGACATAGACGAAATTGGGACCTGAAAGTCTAGGTCTTCTTTTCGTTTGACCTCCCAGGCTTGTAGGCGCTATCTACAGCCGCGCGCCTTCCCTTCGGCTTAAAAGTGATAACGGCGTCACTTTCGCCTTCATCGCTGTCTCCGAGTTCGATAGGCGCAGTTCTCTTTCCTTTCTCGTTATTTGCATCTAGTGCCTCCTTATTAGCCACTAGCTGTGATGTGGCAGGTTCAGTTATGGTCCTGTTCTGATTTTCAATTGGCGCAGGCGTCTCAGAGACTGAAGTCTAACCTCCAAAGTTAGCTCTACGAGGATAATAGCAGGGCATTGTCCGGGTCTGTACGTACCATTGTCTCGTCATATTTCTGCCTAGCCAGATCCTGAATCTCGTGTCCGTTCAGCTCATTGAAGTCTTTATATTGCTTTTTTGCAAGTCCCCAAACTTCCTCAAATGTGAGATCCTCGAACGCCCTTGAAGCATGGGACAAGGGCCCACTGTGCGCATTTGGCATTTCCTCGCCATGCTTTTGTCTGGCTAGCTTCTCAATCTCATCTCCGTTCAGATCGTCGAAGCGTTTATACTTCTTTCTTGCGAGGTCCCGAACTTCAGCAAATTTGAGCTTCTCGAAGGCCCTTGAAGTGCTGGTCAAGTGAGATGAGCTTGGCGACTTGGCGCTGTTCGGAGTTACCTGGAGATGCATATCGCCGTGCTCAACTTGTGACCTCATCTGCTCTTTGGGTCGGGCTGGGGTGGGAACACCGGAAGAGTTTGCAGATGCTGGTTGTGCGGGCTGGAAAGGTTGTAGTTCTTGCGTTCGCTGTCCTGCTTGAGAACCTTGACTAATAGGCCTAAAAACCATCCGAGTGGTTGTCCCAAACCTAGACACGCAAAAGCAATATTCCTCTTCCTCCCCATGGGAATTGTTTTTGAAATTATACTAAAGGCAGTCGGTAGGCACATGGCAGTACCAATACCTTGCAGCCCACGGAAGGCGGTCAATTGAAGTCCTGTCTGTGAGCGGCCGGCAGCTAGGACAAAAGCTCCCGCGAAAAAGCAGCCGAAGATGTTCATGTTGCGGTTGCCAATGTGGTCCGCTATCGAGCCGGCGAGGAAGAGGAAGCAGCCGTTGGTAAGGCTGGAAGGATTTATTAGTTATTGTAGTATGCTATTTAGTGCAATACTTACGAGTACATTGATTGAGGCCTATAATAAAATTGTCAGCAACAGTCTCTCAGGGCTACCACTAATGGAAGAAGTTATGTGCAGTTGTGTTACTGCAATTCCAACACATTATGTGTCGGAATTGCAATAGCTCTAGAGATGAAGCACCAAGGCACCAAGAGATAATTAGTTGAAGAAGATCTTATTGCTTACTATTATACTATATTTAACGATGTGACGGCTACTCGGTGTTCCACCCACTCGCTTCGCTCGTAAGCGAGTGGGTGGAACACCGAGTAGGAGGCTGCTGAAAAGGGCAGCTTTCGTCGCTGTTTTACGCACCCCGCTTGCCCACTTTTCAATACTCTCACACCCCAAAATTAATCGCCGCACACCTATGGTGCCTCAGGTACCTGAAATAGCTCGTCCACATCGTTCACCTCGTTCACCCCATCCAACCTCTGGCCAACCCATCCCACCTGGCCCTTACTATCCCGGTGCCCACGAAAGCCAAAACTGGCCATCTCCTCGTTGAACCGCTAACTCAAAGGTATTTAAAGGCAGCATGTCCCTTGTTCGCTCTCTTTCGTCTGTTCTTCGCCATCTCTTCTCTTTCACGTCTCAGTCACTCGATTCTTCACCCCTCCTACAAGCTTTCGCTCGTAGTCTCTCTTTTCAGTCGTCAATACTCCTTGTCTGCATTTCTGTTCAATCACTTTGCACCCTCGACTGCTCTCTGGATTCTCTTCTTACTAATCCAATCAACCCTCCACACGTCTCCGTCTCGACATGGCAATGACTTCCTACTCCGACGATGAATCCGACAGCTCGAGCGTTTTCGACTTCGATTCCCTTTTAGATGGTATCGACGATGACACCGATGACGAGTCGTGGCTATTTGACGACGAAATAAAACACCCTCCGGAACACTATCTCGCCGAAGCAGAAGAACTCGATGTGCAGCGGCTTCGGCAACGACGATACAGCCCCAATACCCAAGTCCAGCTTGATCGAGTGAAGTTGCAGTGGGATCAGTAAGTCAACATTCAAATGACTATAGTTGCTTACGCTAACTTTCCACCCCCTTGAAGGTACTGCTCCTATATTAAGAAAGACCCAGTACAATGCTTCCGCGATGTCACGATAAGATTCCTCAAAGGCTTCTTGAGCTGGGTTTGCGACCAACGACGAGGGAAAGGCGGGCGGAGACGGCCAGGCATCAAACATACGACGTCGTTGGAGACATTTTGGAAGTGGTACAACCTTGTGTACAAGCTCGAGGTTGGCGAGAAGATTGACGAAATGATCATACGACAAGGGCAAGATGTGAGTTTTTCTAGTTACTACGTTAGGGCTTCTGTTTGTCTTCAGTCTAATATAATTATAGCTGATCAAGTATGTGGCCGATCAAAAGGGTCTTGATAACTCAAAGCGGGAGAGTGCAACTATGTATGCTGAAGATCTAGCTGAATTCTCCCGCGTGCTTCTTACGACAACGCAAATGACTTTTGCTATCGGTTGGCTTCGAATTCAGCAGATCCTCTTCTCTCAACTCGCAGGCATCACTGGCAATCGACCGGAGGCTTTATTACAGCTCCGTCTCCGGCACCTCGAACTGACACTGATTCGAGACCCCAGTGGAGGTCGTCCCCGACTGTTTATCGAACTATCGCCCGAGTTCACCAAGGGTTTTCTCGGCTTAAAGGACGTGTGAGTGCCCTCTCGTCAGCCATCTTGAGTTGTAACATGCATCGTACTGACTAGAACCCAAAGCAATAAATTTAAAATCCCCGAAATCATCTACGACCCGACGCTGGTACTGAGTCCGCATGTCTTCCTGCTTGGCATGCTGTTCAAGGTTCAGGCCTTCAAGTCTCCTACCGTCTATTCACCCGAGAAGTTGTACAGTCTGAACGTTCTGCAGGGGATGAATGAGCAGGAGCTACCGTTAAAGGATGAGATGCTCGACAATTTCGTCTTTTGTCAAGCGGTTCGTGAGGCGGAAGGCGTTCGCATCGCTCACAATCTACAGCTGTCGTCGGCATCGATCCGGTACCGCATGAAGATAGGCGGCCAGATCACCGGGTTTAAACAAGTCACGAAGCCGTATGTGCTACGTGACGGAGCCGCTAAGGCGCTAAATGAGAGTCGTAAGTGTTTTTCTGAGATCCTGCTGTCCTCAACTAATGTGGTCTCTTTGGCACAGCTGATGTTAGTGACTCCGTTCAAAACTTAATCTTGCAGCATGCGAGTATCGACACCTTCCTTAAACACTACCTTGATCGGAATATCAATGTGGACGTCCAAAATATATATCGCGGACTCGCGCCGCAAAAGGCTTTGATGAGGTTCGCATGTTCAATGAGCCGGTCGATCGACCCCCGGCGCCCCTGGAAGCTGACTTCTGCGCAATCAGCATCGGTCAATAACCTTCCATGTATCGTGAAATTGTCTCAGATCGCAGCCCACCTGTCAGGGTCTCCAGAAGGCAGCCGGAGGGAAGAGCGCTATCGGAAAGAAACGCCTACGAGCGAGAGAGCGAGACAGCGGCGGTTGCTACTACTTGACATCGTCGATCGATACAAGAAAGAGCAGCCTGTCATTGACAGCGAGCGGCAGCTATCTGGCAAGGTGGTCGACGAGGACGTCCGAGGTGCACTAGAGCGATCGGATCATATGACGCCTGAACAACTGCTTCTAATCGACGCGGTTTTGACATTGCCCGAGACGTCGCTGGAAAAGGAATGTCAACGCAGGATTACGGCCATCAACGCTGTGACGGCGTACTGCAGTGTTGAGGAAGGGGTGGCCTTCCGTCGCAGTCGTGCTGGTCAGGCAGTTCCACCAGTCTCCGCGGTCAAAGACGAAAAGCCACTGCGGTCCGAGGCAGATATCATGCTCAGACATGCAATATCGTCGGTTACGACGGATAAGAGGCCAACTATATGCTTCGCATGTCTTGGAAACCCGAACCTGACGATTCGAGAGAGGGTCGTCTCGTTTGCAACTCCTGGCTGCCTGACGAGGCACTTTATGAGAAAGCATGTTAGAAGACTTGGAGTTAACGAGCCTACGGAGTGTCGGATCTGTGACGTCCGGCTCGAGCATCGGATGCATTTTCAAAGCCACGCAGAGATATTTCACGGAACTGTCTGTCGGTCCTGCAACTAGATGGAATCATTCAGGAGTGTTATGGCTTCTCTTGATTAGGTAGACAGAAGGATTAATTATATAGGGAGGAGGCAGGAGTATCTGGCGTCATTCATAGTTTTAATCTAGCTTCCCCCCCATGAAGACCCATACCAGTTCACGTCTTTATCAAAGTGACCTGACGCTGCACAGCTTGTTATTCGTGCCCGTCAACCTAACAATGCCCTTTTTTTTTTTTTCATATTTATATAAAGAAGGATGATTTATCTGCTTATATGTTTACAGTCGCTTGCAAAACCGGCTTCCCCCCCAGCGCGCCGCTAGATTTTCCCCACGCCACTCTTCGCAATCGCCTTATCAAACTAACCTAGCGTCAAACAAGGGTTGTACCTGCGACTTCAGCAAGTGCCAATCTCATGAGTTGCGCCACATATGGCTATACCTCCTTGCTCTGCCATAATCAACACTCACATTCCTATACTTGTATAATTCAGAATGTCCACAACCCTAAGGCCGGGGCGAGTCGACCACCCTCCCTGCCAGTTCCCGCGCGGTCACAGCAAATGCAGTCTTAATGTCTGCTGGCAGGCTGAGTTTGCCTCAGACTTTTTGAATACCATACATTATAATCCTCTCCATGCTTTCTCGGAGGCTCAGCCCTGTTAGCCCTTGCAGTGTGCTCTGCTAAGAGCCGGAGAGCGCGTGGCACGCAACTCAGTCAATCGCACATACCGGACAGCCCCTGGTGTTTCTGATGAATATGGCAGAGCTCAAAAAGAAAACGATCTATTTCCATTGTTCAGCCTCTTTCAGTGTCTCTTTGTGTGCGCTTCTGACCCATTTGCAGTATTTTCTCCACTTTGCGTTCAATCCATAATTCGATATTCTGCATGTCTGTCAGTAACGACAAAGGAATGTCACTCTTGAGGAGATGCCACGAACAGGATTGAATTTGAAGATGAGCCATATCGCAAAAGTGATTATCACAAAGGCTCCTCCAAAAAGGACATACCAACGCCAATCGGGGTTGTCTTTCAATAAATCGATGTTCATGCCAAATAGACTCTTCATGCGAAACCTCTCCATTAGCAGCTGTGGCTAAAATGCCTATACTAGAATATATTGCGAAGCCTTACCGAAGCAAACAATGCTGGTAGGAAGATGAACTAGGCATATCAGCTTCGGTCAAGTGCGTGACAAATCAAGCAAAATCTTACAGTGATCCAGCTGAGACGTTTCATGCTTGTTGCAATGTTTGTTGATCTGTGTGCTTCATTGATCGAGACCCAGGCAAACTCCTGCACAAGGTCAACTCCGATAAATTTGTTGAAAATAATGATTATTATACTCACAAACTGTAAAAGGTCCCTTATTGTTTGGTCCAGTTGTTTTATACGATTATTAACGTCGTATGCAAAGCCATCTATTACGTTCTGCAGATCCTTCAGGGCATTGTCTTCACGGTAACCTCCACTCTCTTTTGCAAACTCCTTAGCAGTGGCGACTTGGTCTTGTAGGAAGTTATGATGACCGGCCAACGTCTGAGCATCTTTCGCCAGGTTACGTATGAGCTCAGGGCTTTCTCCTTTCTGACGGAGTTGGTCGCCACGCTATATTATATACTTAGTGGATTAAACAAGATTAGGAGGGTAAATATATATTCAAGATTGATATTAGCACCGGATGAACTTACACGTTTAGCCAGATCTCCCTCGACCAGGTCACATCCAACGACCCACCTATCTTTTAAGCAGATTATGAACTGCTTGAAGAAGTCAACACCGTCGTCTGGAATCCAACCGTATGGCAGTGTGCTCAAGTGGTTTATCATCTTCGATGGTCCGTCACTTGGGTCCTTGGGCGGTATCATTGTCCACGCTATTGCGCGTTTGTTCCAGGCAGGCATATTGCCGTGTTTCTGGTCTGCACCATGTCTGGGGGGGAAGCAGACAGCAACACAGAAGCAAGTGCCAATTCCATTAATCGGCTCCTGGAAATAGCGCAATTGGCCGTGTTTTAAAGTGAGCACCTTCTCCAAGCCGGGAAACAAGTCATTCTGCCATGACGAGAGGTCCAAAACTAGGCTTGGAAAATTAGTTGAGTTTCTTCATGAGATAAGAGAGATGACGAACAAGAGAGATCTCCTTATCCCAGTTTCGGCTGACCACTGCGCTAGTTCGTGTCGAATTCCTCGTTCTGCAATACAGCGCAGGGATTTCCGTTGGCCCTCTCCTTCCGTCAGCAGCAAAATATCCGATGGTTGTCGCCCATATGCGTGGCGCCAACTTACCGCCATGATATCCTTCGTATACACCAACCCATTGAGCAGCAGCTCAATAACACGGTGATTCTTGCACTGAATTGCAATATTCAGGGTGGTGCTGTCTCTTTTGGTGAACAGATTCACCATCGTTATGTGCCCCTTCTCTATAGCCCACAACAGCGCTGTCTGGCCGTTGTTGTCCTTGGAGTTCGCATCAATGCCCTCCTTGTCAAGCAGCTGTCCTACAACCTCTTTATTCCCTTTCTCTGCTGCCCACGACAGCGCTGTCCGGCCGTTATTGTCCTTGGAGTTCGCATCAATGCCCTTCTTCTCAAGCAGCAGTCTTACCACCCCCTCTCTCCCTCTCTTTACAGCCCACGATAGCGCTGTCCAGCCGTTGTTATCCTTAGAGTTCACATCAATGCCCTCCTCTCTTAATAGCAGTCCTAGCACTTCCTCATTCCCTCCTTGTGCGGCCCACGATAACGCTGTCCGGCTGTTATTGTCCTTGGAGTTTGCATCAATTCCGTTCTTCTCAAGCAGCAGTCTTACCATCTCCTCTCTCCCCCTCTCTACAGCCCACAATAGCGCTGTCCAGCCGTTATTGTCCTTGGAGTTCGCATCAATGCCCTTCTTCTCCTTCTCTCTACAGCCCACAATAGCGCTGTCCAGCCGTTGTTATCCTTGGAGTTCACATCAATGCTGTTCTTCTCAAGCAGCAGTCTTACCGCCTCCTTTCTCTCTCTCTTTATTCTTTGCGACACCCAGGTCCGGTTCTTATTGTCGTCAGAGTTCAGATGAACGCCGTGCTCTCTTACTAGCAGTCCTAGCTCTTCCTCATCCTCTTGTGCAGCCCACGATAACGCTGTCCGGCCGTTATTGTCCTTGGAGTTCGCATCAATGCCCTCCTCTCTTAATAGCAGTCCTAGGACTCCCTTATTCCGTTTTTGTGCGGCCCACGACAGCGCTGTCCAGCCCTTGTTATCCTTGGAGTTCACATCAATGCCCTTCTCTCTTAATAGCAGTCCTAGCACTTCCTCATTCCCATTTTGTGCGGCCCACGACAGCGCTGTCCGGCCGTTTTCATCCTGGCCATTAATCTCTTCGCAATCGTTAAGTGCATTCTCCATAAGGGCTTTGTCCCCCTTTCTCGCTGCTACATGTAGACGCATATTTAACGTGCCGTTTATTGGAGAGTATTGATGCAAGAATAAATGCTAGTAGAGATACCCCGGGATGAGTATTCGCTGACGGCTACGTTTGGAATTAAAATGTTGCGATAGAATCGCCTGTACCTTGGCAAAAAAAGAAGAGTGTTGATTATGGGAGAGTAGAGCACATGTGGCGCAGCTCATGAGATTGCCACGTCACAGGTACAGCCCTTGTTTGACGCTAGGTTCGTTTGGTAAGGCGATTGCGAAGCAGTGGCACGGTTTAAATCTAGGGGCGCGCTGGGAGGGGAAGCCGGTTTTGCAAGCGACTGTAATAACAAACGCCCTTGGCACTACTTTTCATGCAAAAACAGTTCCTAACTCTACACTAGAGAGTATAACCCGCTCCATGATGCCTCAAAAACTCTGTGGTTGACTTGTCAAGTTGCTCTCTAGGTGCGAGACCAAATGCACGCCCTTTGAAACCTTGCCAAAGAGGTGATTCCAGCTATCCAAAGCTGTCTATATCTCACCCATCAGAGCCCAGTTATACTGGCTGGAATTTTTAGTTCATGGCAACCGGCCGCGCTGACGTGGCAAATCAGAACCCAGCTGGTTGGTTTTGGTGGTTAGTTTGCCCAGGCCACTGTGGTTAACCTCATATGGATGATAGACCGAGGACCCCTATTATCTAGCAGTTCAAACCAATTGGGCAAGGGGACGCCAGCTTGGCAAGAGTCTGTGGCTTCCAAGTCTAGCTTGTTACAGCTCATCATACTTTCTCTTAGCAGAAGTTCCAGTGGAAAGCTGCGAGCGGCCGTCGCCAACCAACAGCCGCCATCCCTCTTTTCGCCAGAGAAGACAGCCGCAATCAGCCGCTCGGCATAGCGTGGACTGTGGCACACCCAGCATACGGTAAAGCATGCTTGCCGACAGTGGAGTATTGCTATCCAGGCGGTTCAACCCGAGGATTTTAACGTCGTGAAAGCCAATAGAGCGAATGGATTTCTTGTTAGTCTCGAAAAAATCCTGGATGACCTTTTCAGGAGCCACCACTCCACACATGTCAAGCTGTCGCAGATCAAGTACACAGTGAGGCAGCAGTTCCAGTACACGTTCGTCAACTCCACGTACGCGTAGGACCTTGCTGTTCCCCAGCAGCTGTCTTAGTGATTCGGATAATGGATCTAGATTAAGTTGTTCCCATGAATGGTAGTATGGAATCTTGAAGTGCAACAAGCTAACGGTATGAATGGCAACGCCTACGTTTCTGGCACTGTGAATGGCGCTCGAGACGACTTGTAGATGGTGCTTGTAAAACTCTTCCTCTATGATCATGTCTGAGGCCAGCCAGTCGTCATCTTCCAGCACCTCACGGAAGGACAATCTCACCTCCCGCAACAGAGGAAGTGCACAGAAGATAGATGATAGAATGAGGTCAGCACCTTCATCGATGATGCTGCGCTGCTCACTACAAATGCCGTGGACGCTTTTGTATATGGCCATGTATGAATGGAAATCATCTGCTTCATACCCCGCGTCGTACATATCTTTCGCATGTTCCATATAGCTGTCTGGAGTTAGGATATCGGACCTAAAAAGGTCAAAATCTAATATTTCTACTCAATTTTACGAGTAGCATCAGCGTAAACTCACCGAACGACTGGAGATACGTACCAGTCTTCAGCAATTCTGTGATTTGGTAAGAAAAGGAGGTAATATGGCCGCAAACATTTGACTTCAAGAGGTCTTTGAGCCCCCTAATCCCGGCCTGAGAGAACTCAAACTTCACGTGGCGAAAGAGGATCGACAGACAGGCTTGTCTGAGCCGTTTACTGGTGCAGGAAAGACCTTTGAACTCCCAGGGTACAAGATGGCCAACAACGGCATGTAGAATCTCCGTCGGGAGCGTCTCAAGAGGCGATAATTCAGGACTGTCAATGGTCATTGTGGAAACGTTGGAGGGCCTTGAATGAGTCGATTGCGGGTAAGGCAGATGAGGCTGGAGAGAAAGAAGGGGAGTCGAGGGCGATTTATAATGGCGAGGACCAGCTTAGTAACTCGCTAGCTATCTGATCTGCGCTGGGGGGAGCAGTGGAGCCACGGTCGAGCCAGTCTACCAGGTTATTACCACGCACATCAGCCTTGGCAATCGATACGGCCACTCGCGGGTGGGAAGCTTAAATGGACAGCAATGAACAGTCCTATTTAGCAACGCAAATTACGGGCAGGCGTCACCCGAAACACTCAACATCTCAGACCTTTCGCCTTCCGACTCTCTTCTGTGCTTGAGCGGGCATCACGTGAGATCTTGCGAGGAAGCACTGCGCTACAGAGAAAGCTCACGGGGGCGAAGGGCTCACAGGAGTCGAGTTCTCCAGGGGGTGTTCTCTTAGGAGAGAGAGTCTCCGAGGAGCTTTGTCCACGGAGCAGAGACGAACCCGGAGCATACTCCTTGGATGTACGAGCGCCTGGGAGGATCCTCCTAGGCGGATCCTCCCTGGGCGCTAGTGGTCCTTAGAGGATGCGCCTAGGCAGTGGGTGCTCCTGGGGGCTCCCTCCTCGAGGCACTAGCGTCCCAGGAGGAGCCTCCCTGCGACACCACAATCCTAGGCGTTCCACTCGCCCGCGAGGGTACCCTTTGGAGTGCCACCCAGCTAGGAGCACTCTCCGAGGCTCTACGAATACGCTACAAAAACCTCAGCTATCTAAGCGTGACCTGTCTACTCTGGCTGGTAATCTAGTTCTACGAATCTCACCCCCACCCGAATATACTTCCTCACGACCGCCCATAAATCATCTCGAGTCACCTCCGAGCCAGACACTTTCGTCTGTCAGCATTACTCACATGGCCGGACCGTAGAGTACTTACCTGCAACGAGAATCCTTCCATCTCCTGCCACCGTCCACCTACTCCCGGATTCCGCATCACCCTGCAGCGTACTGGATTTGACTCGCTCTGTTCCAAAGCCTTCTCCCCTTCAGCACCGACTTCCGCTGCGTGGACCTTGATATTATTTCCTGAGAGCTCTGCGAGGAAGATCTCTGACAAGGGAGCGGGCCCCGGATACAAAGTAGCTCGTTCGCCAAATGGCTTTTTAGGCGAGCTCTTAGTTTCAACATACACCGAAATTGAGAGGATCTAGTCCGGGTAATCATTAGCTGCAGTTTGGAGGGTGTCATATAAAACTGAACCTACACAGCCATCATCCAATTTATCCTCCTCCAGCGCAATGTTAAGTAGTTCCTGAACCGTAAGGCCGTCAGCTACACTGTTAGCTTTGGTACGGATTTGCATATTGCATACGGCAATCCCACCTTCATTCTTTATCTGCCACACCAGATGAATGCGGCGAGTTTGGACCGCGCGAGTGTTATAGCCGTGGATTAGCTTCTTCAGGTGTGGTACGAAGGCAGCGATGCCGAAGCCGCTCGCCACCATTAGGACGCTCTCGTACTCACCCATCGACAGGCTGGCTCCGTGAGGGCCACTGAACACGACGAGAGGGTTGATGGTGTAGCCTTTCTTTGCGTGGTACAGCAGCTCTCGCGTGAGCCCTCTCCGAGGCTCAATCAGCAGATCAAGCCTGTCCTGATCCTTTGCGTCCCACGAGATGACCGTGAACGGGTGAGTTTGGAGGAAAGACCAGAAGCTGACAGAAGCATCCATCGTCAGAGGCTTGGAGAGACGTAGCTGCATCTTGACCGCACCTGCATCGTGCGTGATAGTGGCGCGTGACAGTTGGTGGCGAAAGACCCCGTTTCGGACGATGACGGCACCAGTTTGCAGGAGGTATGTTGCTGCGAATATCCCCATGGTGATGTAGATATAGGCGCGCGGGGAAGACTTGTCAGAAGGAACGTGTCGCCACACCGCGTAGATGGAAGCCAAGGCTAGGGCTTGGTGTGATCGTAGGAAGAGCTCGTACGAGAGCTTGCGGAAGAGAGGAAGCAAGAGGACGAGGAGTAGGCAAAGCAGCGACGCTCCCTATCAAAATTTAGTCAGACAACGAAGAGAGTGATGGATGAAACGTACAATAACTGCAAACAGATTCTGGGAAACATCGATTGGGAGAGGCCCATCGGACGCCGCTGCCATGGCATGGAGAAGAACGAGTGCAGCTGTCATCCATCCAGCCGACCGGTGGATGCCACGGATGGTCTTGAGCGAGAGCCCAAGCAGGTCGGCTAGGAAGGCAAAATGAGGCCCTGCGAGGAGGGGGATCATGTTGACCTCTGCGAGAGTGCCAGCTCGCCGACCAGCGTCCGAGAAGTTGGCGGCCTTAAGGCCGTCCCACGAGAGTACGACGAAGACGCAGAACAGGTTTATTGCGAGGTAGGCCAGCTGTATAACGACGCCTGCCCGAGTCCACGGCCCTAGGATTCGGTGTCTGTGAAGTATGTATGGATACCTAAAATGCTTCGAGACAAAATTGGAGACGCGAGTAACAAGTGGAATTAGGAGGGGAAGCAAGTTAACGAGAGCAAAGATACAAAGTGTGCCGCCTGCGGCGATAGAATAGATTTGAATAGCATCCATAATGATCGGAAATGCGAAGAGATCGCGAGAAACGAGTGAATATGGTGAGTTGGTGGTTGAGAAGTGGATGGGGGAGGGTAGATATATGGGTGGAGCGGGGAGGACGAGGAGTGACTGTACCATGGATTTCCCTTATTTTTAGCTGTTATGTTGTACCTTTATAGGTACCTGCTAAACCAGAGGTGCCTGCAAAAAAGCAGGTACATGCTTTTAAAGGTACCTGCTAAATCAAAGTTGCTCATATGTCATGCTCTGGCTCATGAGTCAGATAGGATAATATGTAATACTGTAGCTATGGTTGGCACTAGATACGTAATGCGAGAAAGCAAAGGTAGAATAACGCGAGACGTCCTTAAACGGGGTATACATGATTACAGGAAGCGATCGATGACACGGGGTCACGTGCCTTAGTGCCATCACAAAAGAGGGTACCTGCGGGTACCTGCTTTTGAAGGCACCAGCTAAATCAAAGGCACCTGCAGCAGGCACCCTTCATACAGTACGACGCCATAAGTCTCCGTACGGGTCAAAGCTCAAATTGGATGCCGCTTTCATATTTTGTATACCACCCGTCTACAGCAATTACTGTTGCTGTTCTAGCTACCATGAATCGAGTAGTTTGAGTAGTAGAGCCTCTCCCATATGCTCCCATGCTGTCATTGCGGCCCAATCAATTGATTTAAGGGTCTCTATAGTATTCGCAGCTTTGTAACAGATGAGGGTATAGCTTATATACGTAAAGCTTAGGTAACGCCTCTAGGCGTTCCATGATCACTTTCGGTGTATATTTATAGTATCATTGGTGGTATTCTAGATACCGCGCAGGTGTTTGCAGAATGTCTCTGGGATTAACAGTCCTATTCTCTTGACCATGAGCATTCCAAATCTTCGCCGAGTCGAGCATGCCTCCATCTTGCCATATATTAACGGCAGGCTGTTTTATATGGAGCTCGGAGGCCAAAGGAGAATGATTAGTTGAATTATTAAGGCTTGGTAGCGGCGTTGCTTCTCGCGGCATATTGGCAAGGTGCGCTAGCCAATCCTGGCCATGATATTGACCTGAGGATGGAGATGGGATGCTGGGCGTATTTTCGGGAGAGAAGTTGAAGTACAAGTTCATGTCAAAGGAATTTTCCTCACCGGGATCTGACTGGTGCAAATCACCCTTGGGGGAGTCGAGAAATTCTGGCTCGTCACTGACATACGACTGTTCACACCAATCACCGTCCTGGGAATAACAGTGATCCGTCATATACCTGGTGGACTGCTCATCAGAATTCCCAAGAGGTGTTGATGGGAGTGAGTACTCATTGCAATCTGCGGCAAAGTTTGGTGAATTTCCGTCCTCAATGCCAGCACTAGAAGGTTGCCACTGAGAGTTATCAAAAGAACAGTCTAGATGTATATCTTCTACTGACTTCACGATCCTCTGGGGATGCGATAACTGGCTATTAGCGTACACTTGATCAAATGAAGGGCTAGCAATTGCCTGGGCAAGGTCTGACTTGGGCGGATGATTAGCGAACTGTAGCAGTTCTTCTGGGGGTCTATTTCTACTCTTCGAAAATAAGTCATATGTTAATATGTCGATGTAACGCTGACTTCTAAACGATAGAAGACACAAAGGTTCTCTTGCGTAAAGGTTTACTTATCAGAGGAGGCAGGGGATCAGACACAAAGGCTTCAAGTAACACGTTACTAGTATATAACAAATACTGTATTGAGTTGAGCACGAAGCTCCTATCTAAGGAAATACTATCTACTTATATAGTGGCGTCGTGCCTAGTGGACTCTTGGGAACTCACTCGAGTCCTCGGAGTCCTGGACTCTTAGGACTCTTCTCATCATCCTGCGAGTCCATCACGTGCCTAGTGGACTCCTGGGAACTCACTCGAGTCCTCGGAGTCCTGGACTCTTAGGACTCTTCTCATCATCCTGCGAGTCCGTCACGTGATACTTTCGGAACTACTATTCCCCGCTGCCCCTCCAGGTACCAGGGCCGGTCTCATGCGACCTCCCTCCTTCCTGTCCTGTAGTTGGCCAGCCTTCTTGTTCCGTCGTAACATGTAGTTGGCCAGCCTTCTTGTTCCGTCGTAACAGTCGAGCAGTTGCCTTTGTGCAGGGCGGCTAGAGTCTACTCTCTGTAGGAGGACGCCGGTCTGATTTATGACTTTCTCCTTCAAACCTGGGCGAATGAAGTCAACGTAATCTACGACATCCTGAATCCGATGTCGGTTGAGATTATGAAGGCTAAATCATAATCAGCCGAAAAGTAGCGAGACTCACTAGTAGTCGAGCAAGAACAACTTACTCCGTCACCGTCAGATTTTCAGGCAGGATAGCTAGAACGAGACTGCCAAATTGCTTTGCCAATTCCGCCAGCGGGTCTCCCTGGGTTATCCAATAGCTAAATTTTCCCTTAGCTGTCTCTCGCGCCTTGTTTCTCTCTTCTTCCCCCTCGATATCACCTAATTCGGGGGAGAGTGAGTCAGTAAAGCGACCCCTCGGCGACAACCCAGGAAATTCCAATTTTCGTCTCTTCTTAGGCACAGCGCTCCTAGCGTCTTTTGCCTCAGCGTACCTGATACTCAGCTCTGCTAGTGCAAATCGCTTCGAGATGCGGAAGCTCACTCTCAAATACTTCGTTATCTCCTCGCCCGCCTCATCTCGAACGATGCGGTTCCTGAGGACCCTGAACCTTTGATCTGAGGTAGTGTCAGGACCTTGATAATCTTCCAAAGTATCGGCGCAATAATCTGCAGAGGAAGGTGGATTTGCTGTGTAGTTCACGTAGTCCATAAGAGCTGCGAGTGTTGATTCATCCCCAATCATACGTAATTTTGCGCGTAGGTCCGCTGGAATCTTCGTGGACCTATTGCTTTCTTCCTCTGGCAGCTCGGTCGCGCTCGGCGGTTCGGATGAATGCCGTGATACCAAGTCCTGGCCAGCGTCTGATGTGTCAGGTCGCTGTCCGTGAGTCTCATATTTCCGGTCAGGTGCAGATTGGAGTTCGTAAGTCTCTGAGAGTTGAGGGCTTCTGCTTCCAAGATACACCTCCGTTCCATCCAAAGGCTGCAAACCTCGACAATCTGCTTTACTACTCGGAAGCAGATCGTCGAGGTTCGCAGCATGCTGAGAATCGCCACTCGACCATCCATCTTGACAATCATCGCCGTCACTACTCGAAATCCAATCGTCGAGGTTCGCTGAAGGCTGGGAATCGCCACTCGACCATCCATCTTGACGATCATCGCCGTCACTACTCGGAAGCAGATCATCGAGGTTCGCAGCATGCTGAGAATCGCCACTCGAGTCCTCTACGTCCCGGGCAGGAGCCGGCTCGCCAGGTATGTCGGTATTATAGGGCGTTGAGGCAGGGGTTGCCCGTGTGACAGCTATTGAGGGCTGGGTGTCCTGGACGCCTTCTAACATCTCAGGATGTTGGCCAAACTGCTCGTCCCTGATAGGAACAGGCTGGGATGTAATTTGCTTAGAGCCTTCAAGGCTTTTGTCCCCGAGCTCTGCATCTGTTGTATCTGTAACGTCAGTGCGGGCCTGTTTAAACTTACAACAGTCCTCAAAGCTGTGTTTGCGTTTTTGGGGCTGGCATCGTGCAGTGTTCAATCGAAACTTACTGTAGTCCTCGGAGTTGTGTTTGCGTTTTCGGGATTTGCGCCGTGCAGTGTTCGATCGATATTGTACTAAAGACGTAGGGGTCTGCGTAGATGGCAGGCCATTAGGATGAGCATCATTATCACTGACATCGTTATGTTCAGCCGGAGTGGAGGCCCCGAGGCTCGCAGAATGCTGAGAATCACTGGTCCCATGCTCGCTGTCTAGTGTGTCTCCTTGTTTGATAGATGAACAGCATTGGGGCTGGCTTCCGTTGTCGAGCTCTTGTTGAGCGGCTGGAGAGGTCTGATCGGAAGCCTCGAGAGAGAGCTTGCGGGGGTCGGTCGAGCCATTCAAGTCAACCCTTTCCGTCTGTGCATTGTCCAGAGGTAGGAGAAGGGTAGAAGTCTGGTCGCCAGGATCAGACTCCTCGTATGCGATAGACGGTGACGAGAGAGAGGTCAGAGGCTGGTCGATAGATGTGCGTGGATTATAAGGTGTCGAGATGGGAGTGGCAAGCGCTGTTGAGTGCGTTACCTCTCGGACTGCTGTCACGATTGCGTCACGAGCGACTGGGTGTTTTTCAAAGTATCGAGTAGTGTTCTCATTCCGTAGCCATCGGACCACAGACTTAACCGCCTGAGAGGCTGTCAGCAATGCTACGTTCAAAGAAATTGGAAGAAGTGTATGATACTAGACCTTGTCAACGTCTGACGTGTCCAAAATATTCAGCTCTGAATCGTCGTCTAGATCTGGACGAGCCATCAAATTAATAAGTCTCTTGGATCGGCTGTTTAAAGGTCATGAGTCGAAGAGATGGTCAACGAGAAAATGGCATGTATGCGGTGGGCAGAGGGCAAAGCAACAGAAAAGGTCAAGATGGGTGTGACGGTGCGGGACTGGGGGGCGGGGGGGGTCAAAAATCGTAATGGGCAAAACCCATTACGATTTTTGACCCCTGCAAGTACTTCCGAGGGTACATAAGACCGCCACACAGTTATATATAGAAGTGCCAAACTGCCAACTATTAATGACAGTGAGGCAGTCTTATGTACCCTCAGAAGTACTTGCAGGGGTCAAAAATCGTAATGGCTTTTGGCTTTTGACCCCCCCCCGCCCCCCAGTCCCGCACCGTCACACCCATCTTGACCTTTTCTGTTGCTTTGCCCTCTGCCCACCGCATACATGCCATTTTCTCGTTGACCATCTCTTCGACTCATGACCTTCAAAGCACATTTGCTTAAGCATGAATGTTCTCGGATCGCAGTATATGAGGTGTATTTCTGCGTGAATTGTATTCCTTGGCCACTCTTGAATACTTTGAACCCCTCTCACTTAAAAATCGGACTCGCATCGTTGCCCTCATGCCTGGCTTGCGGAGAGTCTCCTTTTATATACTGTCCCTGGAGACCATGGTCCTTAATCGACAGGGCCTCTTGACTTCGTCTTCCCCTGCTTGGTGTGGCAAGCGGTTCAGTTACCATGTGGTGAGCCACTTACTGTATCATGCTCGGAGTGCCTTACTGTATGAATTTGATCCGGGATAATTTGGGCTGAGCAGTACATTCTATAACTCCACGCAATATCGATAAGGCGTCCAATCTCCGCAACCTGCGCCGCTGTCAGAGCTATGGAGTGGGCCGTGGACGATCCCGTGCCGTCCAGGAACTTGGGTGGGGAGGTCTAACGGCTATTTTAGTAAGCCTAGCGTGTGGTGCTATCGGTACGAGGAAAGCCTATCCCGCCCACACCCACTCTCCACAACTTCTCCTCTCCTCCATGCCTTTGCTCAACCATGGCATTCACGACTCCAACTAATGACTTGAATAGCCCACAGGCGCCAAGTAAATGGAGTGGAGGCTTATACAAAGAGCATGAAGGTAACGTACTAGTATGCACGATGAGCAGGCCTCGAACACTTGCTCGAAAAGGTTGCATTCTTGGTTTAGCGCTAAGCTCACTAGCGCAGGCACCAATACCAAATATCAAAACTATTCTCATCGGTTTGGGTTTTTGGACCATTGAATCTATAAGGGAAGAAAAATTCGATACGTACCTAGTACGTACCTAGTACGTGCCGAGTACGTACCGAGTCTGTTTGAAGTGCCGTGCAGCAGGGGTGGCATTTCTGGCTTAGCGCCTTGACCCACCAGTGCAGGGACTGACATAAATACCCCAGCTTCGCAGTTGTTGGGGTGTTTGGACCATCATACTCGCGAAGATACATCCAATGTGGACTATTCCATCATCTGCGACACGGTGTAACGCTGACTTCTAAACGATAGAAGACACAGAGGTTCTCTTGCGTAAAGGTTTACTTATCAGAGGAGGCAGGGGATCAGACACAAAGGCTTCAAGTAACACGTTACTAGTATATAACAAATACTGTATTGAGTTGAGCACGAAGCTCCTATCTAAGGAAATACTATCTACTTATATAGTGGCGTCGTGCCTAGTGGACTCTTGGGAACTCACTCGAGTCCTCGGAGTCCTGGACTCTTAGGACTCTTCTCATCATCCTGCGAGTCCGTCACGTGATACTTTCGGAACTACTATTCCCCGCTGCCCCTCCAGGTACCAGGGCCGGTCTCATGCGACCTCCCTCCTTCCTGTCCTGTAGTTGGCCAGCCTTCTTGTTCCGTCGTAACACTCGCTCCCTTCCCCTGGGCATTTGTCTCGAATCCTATAAGTACGTCCATGTCCCCGGGACTCTGCTGCTCCTCAGCGAGTCCTTCAATATGCAACATGCCTACTGACACTGCCCGCAAACTCCAGGAACGCAACGATCTTGTCCGTCGAATAAAGAACCACGGATACGAACTACCCGAAATGGATTCTTGCTCGAACTGCGTGAGGCGAAACATTACTTGCGTGTCGTCTCCAAATGATTCACGGCGGTGCGCCGAGTGCGTTCGTCGCAACTTAAAAGAAAAATGTGACTGTATGGGTCCTGAGCATCCCGACTGGGTGAAGCTCGAACGGGAGGAGGATCGCCTGGATCGCGAAGAGGAAGAAACCCTTTCGAAGTTACTTCGTCTGCGGAAGCAGAAACGCCTCATCCGAACCCGTGGTAAAGATATGCTCCGACGAGGTTTGAAAACCCTCGACGAGCTTGATGCGGCAGAGGAGGCCGAACGTGTGGCTGCTGAGAAGCGTGATGCTGTTGAGGCCGAGGAACAGGCAGTTAGCGCTGCCTCCTCGTCTGTGACCGGGACCCCCGCTTCCTCCGATCCACTGGCCTACTCCCCTGCATCTTGGGATCAATGGCTGGCGGATGGCGGCGTCGATATTCCTCCAGCAGTTCTTTGCTGATGTTCCTTGTTGGTTCCCACGAATTATCCGTAGGTTCGTAATTTTCCCATTTTATCAAAAACTCTTCTCGACGTCCTACTAACCTTCTGTCTAGGATCGCTTCGACCTCATATTCGATTATCTCATTCTCGGGTTGGAGTTCGGTGTCGGTCGCAATTGGGGTATTTCCTCTTGCTGGTTCCAGTAGTGAGACATGAAATACCGGGTGTAGTCTAGACTTCTTGGGTAGCTGCAGTCTGTAATTAACTGAGCTGACTTTGTTCAATATTTTGAATGGTCCCAATTTCTTGAAGTCCAACTTTGTGCTTGGTCGTTTCGTTTTGATATGTTTCCGGAGTAGGTATACTTTATCCCCCTCCTTGAAGGCAGGTTCCATACTGCGCTTCTTGTTTGCGTATGCGGCGGATCGTTCATTTAAGAATTGGATGTCCGTCGCAAGTTGTTCGTGGAACGATTTCAGTTGTTCCACCACGATCAGGGCTTGTTCAGCTCGTGATTCATCCGGTCTTGGTTGCCTATATGCTTCTGGCTGGTAGCCATAATTGGCAAAGAACGGTGAGACTTTCGTTGCTTCTGTCATCGCGCTGTTATATGCAAACTGTGCGATGGGTAAGATCTGACCAGTTATCCTGTTGATGATTGACATAGCTTCGCAGGTACTGTTCAAGGGTCTGATTTAATCTTTCTGTTTGGCCGTCTGTCTGGGGATGAAAAGCTGTTGATAGCTTATGATTTGTTCCCAGTAGCGCCATCAATGATTTCCAGAATTTCGAAGTAAAGAGCTTGTCTCTATCTGAGATGATTTCTTCTGGCATCCCATGATCGGCTAATATGACTCGAATGAAGGTATATGCGAGCGCCTCGGCGTCGCTAGCTTCTAGATATGGTATAAACTTCCCATATTTCGTGAGTCTTTCCGTGATGACGAGGATAGAGTCGTATTCTATTCCTGTTAACGGGTCCTTGGAGGGTGGAAGCTTGACGATGAAGTCCAAAGCTATTGATTTCCACGCTCCTTTTGGTACTGGTGTCGACTTGAGTTGTCCGTATGGCAGATGCCTATTGGATTTTGACTTGCTGCAAATGTCGCACTCTCTTACCACTGTCTCTACCTGCTTCCTCATACCTGGGAAGTAGTAGTGTCGAGTGATTCGTTCGAAGGTTCGTGTTACTCCCTGATGACCGTGTGCTGGTAACGAGTGTTGTTCTTGCACCAGCGGGCGTCTCATTTGACTTGGGACATACACTAACCCTTTGTATCGAATCAATCCTTGTTCGTCGATGGTGAAGTCGCCTTCGACTTTGGACAAGACTCGCTTGGCGCATTCGTCTGTTGCGTAAGCTTTCTTGAGTCTTTCCTCGAGTTCTGTATCTTCGATGACTGAGATCGTCGCTAGTAACTCGTTGTACTGTATTCCTGCATCTGTTTTCTTCAGAATTGCTCTAGGTCTTTCTTCCTTTGGGCCGGCGTAGTCGGTCCGTCTGCTGAGAGCGTCTGCTCTTGCATTCTCGGAGCCCTTGCGATAGGTTATCGTGAAGTTGTAGGCTGCGAGGGTTTCTGCCCAGCGGACTTGTCTGCGGTTTAAAACCTTGGTCGTGGTGAAGTATATGAGGTTCTTGTGATCCGTCCATACCTGCACAGGGTAGGTGGATCCCTCAAGATATACTCGCCACTGCTCAAAGGCAACGACAATAGCCAGTAGCTCCTTGTCGTGGATGTCGTAATTGAGTTCTGCGGGTGACAGTTTCCTAGAGTAGTACGCGATTGGTTTGAACTTACCGTTCTCGTCTGGTTGATTCAGACATGCTCCAATTGCGAAGTCAGAAGAGTCCGTTTCGAGGATGGTCTTCTTTGCAGGGTCAAATGTAGCAAGGATAGGTGCTTCCGTGAACTTCGTCTTAAGTTCCTGGAAAGCAGCCTCTGCCTTGTCCGTCCATTTGAATTCGAGATCCTTTCTGGTAAGCTCCGTGAGTGGTTGAGCTACCTTGGAATATCCCGAGATGAATCTTCGGTAGAAGTTGGCGAAGCCTAGGAAGGCTTGCACTTCCTTGACCGTGGTCGGTGTTGGCCATTCCAACACTGCCATTACTTTTGCTTGGTCCATCTTGATGCCGTGCGTTCCAATAATGTAACCCAAGAATTCGACTTGGTTTTTATGGAACTCGCACTTCTCTGGTTTGAGGAGTAAGCTGTACTCCTTTAGTTTCTTCAGGACGAGTTTGACATGCTTGACATGCTCCTCCTTGGTTGCTGAATACACCAGGACATCATCTAGGTAGACAATGGTAAAGATGTCTAAGTATTCGTGCAAAGCATCATTCATCAGTCGTTGCATGGATGCGGGTGCGTTTGTTAGCCCAAAGGGCATGACTTGATACTCGAATAGGCCATAGCGGGTGCGGAATGCTGTTTTCCACTCTTCCCCAGCCTTGATTCGGATCAGGTTGTATGCTCCTCGCAGATCTAGCTTACTGAAGATCTTTGCTCCTTGAAATCTATCGTGTAGTTCGTTGATTAACGGCAGGGCATACCTGTCCTTGATTGTGATGTTGTTCAACGCTCGATAGTCCACACATAACCGTAGGGAGCCGTCTTTCTTTGGTACGAAAAGCACCGGACTTCCTGCTGGTGATGTGGATGGTCTGATGAATCCTTTCGCTAGGTTATCATCGATGTACTCCTTAAGTACCTTCAGCTCCTTTTCCGATAGCTGATATATTGGTCCGAACGGTGGACTCTTGTCTTTCTCCAAAGGTATCTCGTGATCCCATGGTTGGTGCTTAGGAAGCGCCTCGTTCTTAGGGCCTTCCTGGAATAATCGCTCGTATTCC